CTTCTTCTTCTTCTCTTCTTTTTTCGATTATTCCGCCGGCACGGTTTTCCCGCTCCTCCTCCGACAATGCGTCGTGCCTACGCAGTATAGGTACGTTATAAATATTATATTGTGTATAATATATACGTAAGACGGCGTATACATTATAACGACGATAATAACGACGCGTTTCAAAAACGCAGCTGTCCGAAGGTGGTGCTGTCGTGCCCCTGTCGGGGTCTCCTCTCTCCCCCTCCCCCGTTTAGCACCCTCCCCTCACCACCCCCGGCCGCCGAATATATTATCCCGCTTGTATAATATTATACGCGCACACACGCACACACACGCACACGCACACACGCACACAGCAACAACATCAACAACAACAACAATAATAATACAATCCGCCGCGAGATTACTGCCGCCGATAATAATAAGACGTTTCTCGCGAGATCGTACGCGTACATCTCAATTTTTCGTTTATAGCGGTCTCTCCGCGCGACGACTGCCGGTACACGCGAGACGGCCGGCCGGCGTATTATTTTCTGTATACGATGACGTTATAAGTGGTCTTGTATTTTATTTTTTTTGTTTGTTCCCCCTATATACGTCTACATGCTCCGAACGAAACGTAAATTTATTCTGAAAACCGTATACGGATTACCTTTAATATTGTATAGGTATACGCATGCGCACATTATTATAATTGCGTATATTGTATATATACGTGGTCGCCGCAATATACGTCGCCCGTGTTTGTATGTATTATTATTATTATTATTATTGCAGTGATACGATACCGGGATGTTGCACTGGTCGAATTACGGGTTATTGGGGTGCGGTGGAGGAGTTGCAAAAAGGGCCACTATACCGCGTCAAAGGATATTATTGATAACGTATCGACACGATCAAGGAAGAATTTCGTCGAAAACATCTCGTTATCAAATGTTCGGAGCGTACCACTGCGGTTGCGCGTGTATAATGTATGGACGTGAAACCAAGACGATCCACAGCACACGAGATTACACACTACAGACGTTTGAAATGCGGTGCTACTGCGAGAAGATGTTAAAACAAGCCGAACCGATAGAATGACAAACAATGAAACATTGGAATTTTATCCCCTGACAGTGTTCAGACGAATAATCATACTTATTGGTCTTTGAAATATCTTTCCGCCGTTTCCTTTCAAATCCCTCATCTTCCTTCCAACTCCTTTACTGACGACCCCGTGTTCCGTGTATACAGCGAACTTCGGCCGCTCGTTCTCTTTCTGTCAACCCGAATTATTTATCGCACATTTTTGTGATACCGAATTGTCTACATTATATTATTATTGTTCTCTTGTATTTGACAACGTCTATGAATTGGATATCGGCCGTCGACGTAAAGATAAAAAAATAGTGATATCATAGTGATACCACTATGATTCAGTGTCATTAATAATAATAATAATAATATTGTTTCGCTACAAATAATTACGTAAGTTATTGGAGTAATTGTTTTCATTCACATCGATCGTGTTATACTCGTACGGGTACACTCGGTTCAAAATCAAATACATTTGCAGGTCGTACCTATAAGTGTACGATCTATATTTTTCTAATACAAAATAATTTTGATCTCGTATAATTTATTTTACATCATTCAAAATATTACCATAACATACTTCGAAAGCATATTACGTTATTATATTGCGCGCAATCCGTTTACGCCATATCGCCTGTCTAAAACGAATTGCGCACGCGGTCGTTTGTCGCGATAACGTTGTTTTAAAACTACATTCATAATACTGTATACTAACATCACTCCTAATAATATTATTATAATTATTACGTGTGTTTGCATTCGCAGTTCACGTACACGAGAACGGGAAAAAATATTCTTCTTTAAATACATAAATAAATATTATAACACGACGTTCTGCACACGTGATGACCGCACGTACATTTCATCAGTCTTCCTAAGTTGGAAAACCGTTGTTTTTTATTTCGCTATAAATTAGTGTGGATTAATATTCCGAACATTTAGAATTTGTGCGACAGTGGTTTTTGAACAAATTCGAAAAAACTTTGGGGCTGCTTGAGAAATGTTCCATGGCTCCTCATAAGTGTGAAAATATACCTTTCAACAATATTATTTTACCAAAAATTAGTGTCTCAAATGAAAATTTGTGCTCCTCCAACTCGAGAGGGGCCGAATGAAATGCACCTGATGATCGCGCGTTATTAGCCCCTTAAGCGAGAGTTTTAGTGCACATGTGTCCGTATAATATTTTGTTTAGTTTCTGCAAATGTATAGCGAATAATGTAGACATTGGTTTTACTATGATGTGTGTTTTTTTAATTTTTTTTTTCTATCTGTGTGCAAATTTCTACCAGAAATCTAGTCCAGATTAAAAAATAAATTAGATTTTTTTTTTGTAGCATTTTGGATTGAATTGTTACATTGTGGAAGTCGTGGTTTGATTTTCCAAGTAGTTTTCATGATAATAATTGGAACAAACCGGAAAAAAACAAATAGGAAACACGGACAAATCTATGGTAATAAGCAAATTTTTTTTTTATAATTCGGATAAAAATAATCATAGAGACCAAAAACGTATACAGAATACTTCTATTCGTCTTTTGTAAAAGTGGTAAAATGTTTAAAACATTCTAGCGATTTTTATGAGCTGTTTATAGGCATTTAACATTTTCCATTTTTTTTTTTTTTTTAGTATTAGATTCAACAGAAACGTTTAAAAATGTAACACGACATTCATTAATGTTGTATTTAGTAGAAAATAAAGTCACAAAACTCGAGCACGACAAATAAACCGATGCGGTTTATTGTATACTGCAGCCTTTTTGGGATCGCGCGCAGTCTGTCCACCATGTAAAACCATTGCTGTCACCGAAAATAGTATATAATATTCCTAAATGATTTGTATGAAGAGATTATTATGTTCCAAAAAGTACTTGTGCATGAATTTTGTCTAACTTTAAAATGTAAAAGATTAAAGATAAACGACTAAGTACTGAGCCAATTCCCTAAAATATTTACAGTTTTTTTTTATTTTACCGAAACCCATCAATTTTACGAACAATTTTTAAGAATCTTTAAACAATAATAGTTAATGTTTATGATTTTGTGTAACGTTGAAATTTACGATAATACACGGAGAAAATGAAAATGTACCCTCCTCAATTCCGGTGAGGCACTGGAAGGGGTTGAATATTAACATAATTATTTGTTTAACACATAAAATAAAATTTGAGGTACTCCTCATCGAATTTTCTAAGTAAAAAAATAATGACCAATCTATACTATAATATGTACATGCAGTATATGCAGTTGTGTTTCCACCAATTTTCTTGAGAGTATACTAATTACATCCAGAGCTTATGCCTCGTGTGGTACATTACATATCTTCCTTGTGGTTCACTGTGTTAAAAGCGAAATAGATATCAATTATACACACATTAAATTTAAATTTCCAAAATAAAAAAAAAAATTTTAGATCGTAAGAAAATTATGAATTTTATTTTAGTTAATAAATACAATTTGTAATTTGTATTACTATTACGGTTATAGAGGCATTAGTGGTATGAACGGGCGATAATAATAATATATCGTGACATATTTTTTTTTTCAAAAACTATTTCAGTGTAGGTGTACTGTATGGTGTATACACAGTATACCCGCGATTTTTCAAACAAAATGTTAAGAGTACCCTATGGGAACACTACTCTGCAGTGTATGCATTATACATGTCAACAATGACCTTTTATTCTCGTTTTTTCTACATTGTTATAATATCAAATATTATGTGCGCGGGTGCTTTCCTCGGTTGTTCACAAATCTGACATAAACGGCGATAATAATACGATGAAGATGTCGGTGTTTTTGTCGCATTAGAAAGTATATAAACGTAGGTAATTTAATCCGTTTTGAATATTCGCATAACCCTCGGATTATGGCGGTTCACTGCAGTTCTATTCACGGAAAATATAATAACATTATTTTATTTTATTTTAGTAATAATACAGGCCGGGGAACAAAAACAAAATAATAGTATTTTTTCAAATTAGTATAATAATACAGGCCGGGGCATAAAAACAATGAGTGATAATAATACTATTATATTCGTATATACACACGCATCAGCTATAATTTCTCAACTTCTCGACGAAATTATTCTGGAGTTTTACGTGTATCATTTATGCGTCCCGAATCTCTATAATAAAACTGCCAGAGTATAATATTATGTTTTATAATGAAATTCGTTTGGTCTTATCAAAATACCAATTTTCGTTGCGAAATTATTATACTTACATTATATAAATAATAACATTGTCGATTAGTGACATTTTTCTTTGTTAACATTGATCAGTTTTTGGGTGCGCAATACACGTGAGTGTCATTTTTTTAAATATGCAGTCGAATAAATAGGCAAATCAATTGACCGCTTATAATAACCTACCTATACACCCGACCACTTGTACTAAAAAAACATCTAGTAAACTTCGTCTTTATTTTTATAGTTTCTTCAAATCGATGGCGCAGTATAACGATATAAAATTGTGTTGTTATAATAGTATTATAATAGGTGTGTGGGACGACGACTCTATAGAACGCGTCAGTTTTGGCTGCAGTGCATTAGGATTAGCATAAGAATTATTTGAGAATCTGTGAAAGCTATATGTAAATGGAAATAAAAAAAAAAAAAAAAACGGTTTGGGCGTATTTTATCGATTTAGAAATATAGATACGTATTTTTGGTACCTACAAGAAGGCGGCAGATAAAATAATATAATACTCGAGACTTATTATTATCACAATAATACGTACGCAACCGATTAAATTATTAAACTAAGAAAACTATTGAACAATGCGATTAAAATTTAAAACCGATGAAGTATGTTTATTTTTTTTTTTTTTTTAAATAACCACGTTAACGCGATTCCATCAATTAATTTATCGACTTTATCGTTGACTTTGTGTCCGGGACGATTTCGTGACGAATTTGACGGGCTGCGATGGCCAGAGACCGGACTGGTCGGGACTGCGCAACAACCTGTAAAGCGGACGGCCTGGAAATCCGATTGTCCGTAACGTACGACACAGGTGTGATCATCGATAAACGATTGTTCTAGCGAAATTCCGGTAAAAAAAACCCCAGACGATTCGCGGCTTTCGGAACCTTTTTTTTATATCGATTAATAATATTATAATGCATAATTAATATCGGCCGGTGTATTTCACGTCCCGAAGGAACGGTAAAAATCAAACCGTGTAGAAAACCGCGTGTTTTGTTTTCCAACGTTGGTCGGATGAGGAAATTTAGCTTTAATTTAATCAATCGTCTGTTAGAAGTACGATTTGTTACGATATGATTTTTTTTTTTTTCTACGTTGTCGTTTCACGCGAAATTCGTCGGAAAATAAAACCACGGGGCCGCCCGACCAATTGCCCGGCAGCGTTAATAATATTACGGAGGACCGGGGCGAAAACGAGGATCTTCGAAGCGGCGGTGTATTAATACGGCGGCGGCGACGATCCTTCGTCGTCTTCGGCGGGCGAGTTGCTGTCGGTGGGTGGGGGAGGGGCGGTAGGAGTGAACGCGGGCAGATGTCGGCGGCAGGTACGCAGGCCGCGCGCGCGCGCACACGCACACGCACACGCGACGCACGCATTACAAAACCGCGCACGCACACACGCACACCCGTTCGCGGCGGCGGCGGCGGCGTTACGGACGGTTTCGGTCCTCGGCCAGTCGTCCGCTGTCGACCGTTCCGCGCGTACGTCAGCCTCACGTCAGATCGCCGTCCGTCCGAATACCGCGCGTTCGTCGTGTGTTGCCCGCGTATTATTTTGCGACTATTGTCGAAAACACCCCGAACCGTTGTATTTATTGATTTATTTTTCCCCCTGAACGCGATTCAATATTGTTTTATCGCGTCGTCGACGAAAAAGCGATCAATATTAATTATTATAAAAAAAATTTAAATTATCCCGTATTACGCCCGGACGACTAGGACGACGCGTGCTCCGTACAATACAATTCGGGTGGCGTGTGTGCGTTTTCCGCGCGGTGTGCGCCTCCTGCTTCGCGTAATTTTCGCGAAATATTATGTCAAGATAGAATCATGACGGCGCCCGCTGTTATCCGACTCGATTGTAAGTATAACGCACCTGCGACGATACGAAATAATTTGTGAAAAATCGGCATCGGTATGGGTAGTTTTTTTATGACGGGTTTTTTTGTTTGTTTTCTCTCTCCGCGGCTTACACGTTGCCCGTCGACATTCGGCGTTTCGTTGTTGTTACAATGTATCCGGGCGCTTTGGATCCGGTGCGGCGAGTCGTCGCGGGAAAAAAAACCGGAATCGACGAAGGAACTGTGAGATTTCCTTTACGCGGGTCGTGTCACACACGGACGGAGATTTGACGGTTTTTTTTTTTTTCAGAGTTGGGATTGGTGGTGATTAGAATAGTCCAAACATTACGACTGGTTTATTTTATCGTGCGTAAAACACGAATTTCAAAGGAAATTCGGACGATTTTGACGGGCTAAAGTCGCCACTATTACGATAGGTGTTCCGGTGCCTATATAATACGCCATGTGGAGGGCGGCTCGGGGGCTGCAGCACCCCGCGAGGTGGACAAACTGAAGCTATAAGGAATTTATTGCAAGAGTCGGGCAAACTGTATATGAGCGCCTAAAATAGTGAGCCCTGTCCCGTAACGTTTTAAAAGCTTGGCGCCTACACCTATACTCGTAGGTTTCGTATCTGTTATCTATATAATAGTGAAATTCATTTGCGAAGAAGATGTTTCCGTGTTTGTTTCGTCGTTCGTCGTCAATATAATAATAATTATGGTGGCGGGGGCGAGGAGAGGGAGGGGACACGGTTCGCAGGATGTGTTTTATTTTTAACCGAGATCTCGACTCGCGGAGGGCCGCGACGATGACGTTTCCGAAACAATAATTATATTCCGTCATTATATCGTACGCGAGGAGGGACACCCGGCACGCACAATATATACACATATACACAGGCAATGTCCCGAAAAAAAAAATAAAAAAAAAAAAAAAATCTCCGATACACAAAAACGGTTTCCGGCTTGGTTGTTTTTACGGGATTTCAGTAAAACAAAGGGGTTCGGTATGCGATGTTAGAATTGAAGAAACAATTTAAAAAAAAAAAAAAAATCTATTTACCCGTAGTGACGGGCATTTGATCGGCTAAATTAGAGTAAATTGTACGTGCAAAGTTGTTGTTTTTTTTATACATGTGTACTTATATCAATTGAATATAGATACTTGGTAAACGAACATATTATGGCATCACTTTTTCATTAAACGTTAAACGGTGTCGTTTAATATTTTGAAACAAAAACACAACAATAACAGTCTTTACTTGTGTGTCTCCAGAGATATCACACCATTTAACCGAATCAACGAAAACTCGTTGGTGATTTTTTTTTTTTTTTTTGAAATTATATTTTTGTCCAGACGGATTGGAAAAAAAAATATTTACTCCGTTTTCGGGCGGGTAAATGTCCGAAAATATCTGTCCACCGTTTTGGTATTTACTCGAAACATACCGCGCTATCCGGTCGATTTCTTTTATTTTTTTTTTTTAAACAAAAAGGTATTCAAGGTTTGTCATCAGTCGTTGAAAATCCTTTAATTTTCGCCTTTCTCGTGTTGTACACCTAGAAGCCCTTTTTTCGCATGTGCGCGCATATCTCGAAAAATACTAGTAATATAGTGAATATAGTGAATATATATATATAATATATTTATATATATAATCCCCACGCCAAAAGCGATCGGAAACGATAGTAATATACAGAGATACGCGGGTATTTTTATTATTATTATTATTATAGGCGAGGTTGACGGTTTTACGATTTTCGGGACCCCGTCTCCTCCTTGTTATATACGACAACGACGACGACGACATGGCCCGCGCGCGCGTTTCTTTTGAAATTTACCACAGAGATCCCGTTCTGCAGCGGCCACGACTGGCGCGCGGAGACCGGGGGTGTGTGTGCGTGTGTGTGTGTGTGTACATCGGTATAGAAAATACCGATTTTAACGACCCGAACTTATTGTGAACATGAAAAATAGATTACGGCTGTCATATAAATATGTGTACACGCACGCGGGCCGCGCACCGGCGGAACAGTGTACGAGGAGGAGCGAAGGACGTATAGGGTATACGGCCGTCCACGTAATATAGGTATACGCGTTGCGCACTTACACACCACCGCCGCTCTGCGCACGCAGCAATAAAAACACCATTTAATGAACCTATTCGAAAAGTGTATAAAAAAATTTTTTTTTCACATCTCCGAGCTCCTCCTAATTGCGCGTGCCCGAATTTGTACACTCGTATAATGCGTATGACCGATCCGCCGGCCGGTCGTGCGAGTCTTATCGAATCGTGCGACGAGGTTTAACAGCCGTTTCAACCGCTGCTCGCTAACAGACGCGATTGTAGGGGTAATACGCGTCGTAACATATATATATATTTATATACGCACCTATGCAATAATATTATAATCGTAAATAATTATCGGTCCGGTAAAATGTATTTTATCGCGGGTAAGTTTTTAATGTGCCGCAGTTGTTTACGCGACGTGACGTGTACGCGCGAATAATAATGCAATCGTTAAATCTCGCGGACGACGACATATCGTGTAACGCGTTGCACTGTAATGTTGTAGATGTTCTCCCGACGAAATCGAACGGATCGGAAATTATAATATTTTTAACACCAGCTGTCCGCTGCTGTCCTCGCCGGCTTTGACCGTGCGGTAATGAAAAAAAAAATCTATAGTTTCTCCCTCGGTATTTTCGCGTAGTATTTACATAGCCATACGGACATATTGTAGGTATTATTGACAGAACTCTAGCGTATTTGTCGATTATTTTTGCGCAAATTAAAAACTCGATCGAGTCCAAGTTTCCGATTTTCACATTTATATTATGAATATAGACAGTTGCCCGGCGTTGTCCGTGCCAAGATAGAGTTTAAATTATTTTTTATTTTTATTTCATCCATATCACCAAGGAAATCCATAATAAATGAACAAAACGGGCGAATAACGGTAGCTCGTATGTTATTTCTGGTCTTGAACTGCATCCATGCAAAGTTTTAGGTAAATCCGTTCAGTAGTTTTGGAGTGAAGGGGTGATAACAAACATCCAACCTAACCAACATTCACATCCACATTCTACTGTGGGTTATCCTCAGGAAATAGGTGACATATACTACTCTATACTATTTCTGTGTAGGCCTTTTTAACATACACAATTCCGTAGTAAATTATTTTAATGTATCTCAAAGTTTAACCAGCGTTTGCAATATAAGCTTCCGAAAATATTTATTTTTTTTACGAATTTACTACAAAAAATTGACTTTTCTCTACTTTGTATAAATATGCATGCATAATATTATTATATTTAAGAAGAAATTCGACAAACTAGTGAAAACCGTACTAATAACTGATTGCGTAGTTTAGAAGAATTAAGCGCACAGACAGACGCAGATAGCGACTTTGTTTTACACTATTTAGAATCAATAAAAATTGTACGAAAAATTACCAACTTTTATCGTTAATTAAGACAACTACGTGGGAAATCAAAAAACTATTTTTCTTCTGCTCTGAAATTTGCGCACGTTAAAGATGCAGAACTTCCACGCGGTGATATTTTAATGAAAATATTATTCAAAATTCTCAACAGTTCGCAAAGTATTCAAATAAACGTATTCGGAATATTATTATTGTTCCCGTGTATTAGAATATTTATTTTGTATACTGTATAAACTGTATTTACCCATGTTTGTTTAGGGAATTACAACCCCCCTTCCCGAAATGTATCCGACAGTATCTTTTAAATGCACGTATAGTATTGAGTTATAGATAAAATTCTAAGCAATTTTAAACGTAGTTAGCCGCTCAATTATCAAACTTAATATTGTATAGGTTCGTTCAACCCCCTAAATGTATGTGTAGAAAATCAGCATTTAAAAAAAAAAAAAAAACCAACGGAGATTACAAAATAAACGCCTTTCACCCGCACCAACATTGTTCCGATTACGTCTTTACTGATTATTGCTATCATTACTGTTCCTATAATATAATATTTATCCGTTTTAAACTTTATTTTTTTTTTGTGAGTCGGCAATTAATGTTGTTAAAAACAAATATTATATCTCGAGTTTTACTCAAAAACTTATACATCAAGATGGAACATTTAACGTGAAAACGCGTTCCGGTGGGTGGAGTTTCATTTCGAGGATAGAAACGCGTAAGGTAATAAACAGTGTGTCAATTGGCTATTCTCAGTGTGCAAATTTGCTCTCTCTCAAACTGGGCCTTACATATCAACCTGTCTCTCTCCGTTCTGAGTTTCGGACCGACCACGCCTCCCAGTCCTCGGGGTGAATGTCGCGTCTAAACCAGCGGTCAATATAATGCGGGCCGCATGGTGAGGACTGCTGGTCTGGATGTATATAAGTGCATGATTATACTAAAGCTAATTCGCGGGTTAAAGGTGTCTGTGGATCAATTACGCGGGAGGAGGAGGAGAGGGATATTTTTGACGAATGCAACGTTATGTGTGTCGAGTAAGAACAGCGGCATAATATTATTAAACAACAATATTTATGTATATTACAGAATAATAATACGCTAATATAGTATTAATGGACGCGTTAAATAGATGTTGTATAAAATTCGTCAATAATTGCAATTATTGTCAAATACAGATACACCCTGAACACAGCCTGTGTATTGCCTGGATTTTTATGTAAACACGTATTTATAATATTATATACACGACTTGGAATAATAATATTTCGGTTAAAGGCGCGTAGACGTTTTCGTATAATGCGTAACGCGGCAATTCTATGGTTCATTTTTTTTTTCTCAAAATTTGCATATTCGAGTAGGTAATACCCGTTCGCATATAGTATAATATTGTTCTATATAATGCGGCACCGAAATAAGTCGCATATTTTATAACAATTAATAATTTCGCTCAGTTAGTTTACATTTTTGATTGTACGTGTATATTATACACATTTTCTATGCATATTTTTGATGTTTCGTGCGAATCAAATATATGTGCGTGTTGTTATCTAAAATTTGTTCCGCGTAAAAAATCCGGGCTCCATTTATTTTCGAGGACGTTATCGTTTTGGCGCCAGTATATAATAATATTTTAACATCGCGAAAACGCACTTGTTTACACGATTGCCGCAGTATTGTAGGTGTAGTATATGTATATTAAAAGTGGCGGATATCCTAAAAAAAATATAGGTGTAGCGAAATATAAAGGTAACCGTTAGCCAGGGGCGTTGGTAAGAGGGGTTTGGCGAATTAAATCACCCCTGTTTTGAAAGACTAAAGGAGTTCATCAATTATTGGTTCAACTCCCAAATCGCTCCTATTGCAAATAATTGGTGTTGTTAGAAACTTCCCCTCCCATAAATAATCTACATTTACTCCTATGCCACCCACCATTGCCGATTATTCATTCATGTTAAATCTCATTTACTCAATAGAGTGCGATTAACACGTTATACAATACAAATTAGTATACCGATGATGCCCGTACTTCGTGATACGGTTTTAGATAAATCGTGCTCTAAAATAATTAATAACGGTTAAAGATTGAAGTAGATCATATTTTGTTGTATCGTAAAATACTATATTATTCATTTGCATTTACTTACACAGACCCCTCCCTCTCCCATCCACCACTAAATATACACTTACCGTCGGGGTACCTATAAAGGCATAAAATATACATATATATATATATATACTCGTATATAAACCATCATAATTATATTCGTCGTGAGTTTACGGTTTTTTTTTTCTGTTGCTCGAAACACATTATTCTTTTTATAAAAAAAAATCGAGTTAATAACCCGAGTTTTTAAAATATTTTACACGGTGGTTTATAAGTGCACATTTCTCGATTCTTGAAATGTATGTTATACGTTTCAGCTGAGATCCAAAAAAAAAAAAAAAAAGCTTGATTTCAAAATATTGAATACAAAAATCGACCATTTCCCGGATCCGGCTTTTAAATGCTTCGTAACGAAACCTTTTTAACTGTTTGACAGTTTGGACTACAATAGTGATGGGTTCAACGTTCAGCGCATTCGAATGAACGCGTTCACGATTTCGATCGAATGGTTTAGTAAAAAAAAATAAAGACAGTCGATAATCGAATTCGAAACGACCACTGCGACTCGTTTGGTCGCGCGTACACTGGAGAGCGTCGAGCGTTAAAGGTGCGCGCAATGCAGACCGTTACTTTTGGATGTTGCGGTTTATGTAACATTACATAGAACCGGGGTCGACAATTAGTGTCTAAGGGCAAACGGATGATTTGAATACAGATTTTCCGGACGAACACAGAGACGAATAATTAAAACAAAAAAAACCGGCGTTAAGTAAAAAAAAAAAAAAAAAACGTTAGCGGTTCGTTTGTTTCCCCTGCGCGGACCGGATCGTGTCGTCCGTCACGGTAGATCGTCTTGCGATTCTTTGAGAATTTCACGCAAACGGTGGTCGGAAAACAAAAGGGTTGGAATCCGTCACGGGAAAATCTACGGAGTCTCCCATTATTGGATTTTCGACTTGAGAAAGTCTCTCTCCGCGTACCCATATTTACCGCGCGATTGTTGTTTTTATACCCGTAAAGAGCGAACTGCCACGCCGCGCCGCTGTATCCAAACGCTGTTCGCGGCCGCGTAACGTGATTTTCACCAGCGCCGAGCGTCGAAATCCGAACATGTCCGATTCGCGTTCGTAACCGACGCGGCGCATACACGCGCTCTGTTTTAAAATCCTGCGAGTTCGAATGGTTTTCGCGACAACGCTCTGCGATGGGCGCGACATTAAACGCGGACAAACCAATAGTTTTTGGACGTTGACGAACGCGCGATTATAGCGCGTGTTCTCTATTCCGGTAAAACGGACACGGCGCATACTGACGGGGAGCGTAATCATCCCGGCCGGAGGTAATTCGACAAAAACGCAAGAAAAAAAAAAACATACATACGAGAGATCGCTCTGTATACACAATATTATGTCGAACGTATTATTATTGTTACGCGTGCGACGCGCCGCACGACCGTTTGAAAACTCCGCGGCCGACCGTCGAATCCGCGTCATGGCGCCGCCGCCGCCGCCGCCGCCCGCGTTCCCGCGTTTCCGTATTCGGAACAATAATAATAACGACACGGGCCGACCGTTCTCTCGCGGCACGAGTGTTTTGAACCCGCGTCGATTCTGCACGCGCGCTCTCGGCCGCGCAACGCTATTGTGATACGTTGCCCGCGCGCCGGAGACCCGCGCAAATATCGTCGCGCTACCTGTAAACGCGCGCCCGGACGTAATATAATGTGCACGCACAATAATAATTATCGTAACGTTATTGCCGTGTTCCGTCCGGAAATCGACGGGCGACCGGTCGGTATTCTCTGTTCTGCGGGCGTTTTCCGTTTTGTTTCTGCCGCGCGCGCGCATGTATGCGATACCGGCGGCGGCGCGATATTCCAAACGCGTAATTTCTCGAAACGGGCGCCGCGAGCGACGAGCGACCGCCCGCGCGCGAAACGCGCACAGCGGAACAGTGGGTGGTGGTGGCGTATCGCAAACAACACTTTGGCCGGTATTTCGCGCACGCGCGCGCGGCGTACGGTGTGTGGCGCGGTGTTTCGGACTCGAGTCGGGGTTATTCGGCGGGCCGTTTCGAACGCGCGCCCCCGACGGAATTCGGCTCGGGACGAATCCGACGGCCGGAAAAAAAAAATACCAAAAGCCGCGCCGTCGGGGGGCCTAGGACTCAACGGCGCCGAAGCTGTAACGCAACGCGCGTCGCGAATCGTTATACCCGTACAATAGTACGCGCCGGACGTTGGTCATTTTAATGCGAAATATAACGCGTAATGTATTTTCAAACATTTTATATATAATAGGTATATTTGTAAAAAAAAAACACCGGACATCGTACGCGCCGCGAGCCGGCCACTGTTGCAGGCAGAGGAGTCGGGAAGGTAGGATATATGCAGTAGGGGAATTCGATTTATATCTGCACGCAACGGTTAATCGTTGCCAATGAAAACCGATTCCTAGCGGAGATTTTCGCTTTTTCAACAGTGTCTCTTGTCGCGTGTTGGTCGGAGCGAGCCGAAATTTCGTACACAGTTAAAAAAATAAAAAAACAATACACATCATTGTAAAACCAATACATTCCCCACTTTGATCAGAATCTATCAAAAATATTCCAGTATCTATATGTAGATACAGAAATCAAAGAATTACCAATTTATACGGTAACGTACTTAATATAGTAAAAACAAAAATAATAAATTTGATTGTTATACAAATGTTTGCATACCTATTTTAATCTGCATTAACACCTACTCGACTAAAAATAATATAATATATTTTACTAATATTGCAAACGCAAAAGTGTGTATGGCGATGTATGCTTGTGTATTAATACATCTCGTCCAAACTACTGAACGGATCGAGCTGACATTTTGCACAGATGTAGTTCCAGACCAGGAGGCAGGAGTAACATACTCTGCTCATCCGTTTCCGCCTTCTATAAAGGGTTTACAGACAGAAAAAAAAAACAAACACTTAGTACAACCAATATTATACCATTCCTTGTTTCACCCGGAATTTAAATACAGTACGTGAAATTTATGTGATTTTTATGATTTCCATTAAAGTTTGAACTTTAAAAGTTTATAAAATAAAAACGGCAACTTTTTTCTTCTGATTATCAACTATAATTCCTTATAAATCCTTTGATAAATTGTCAGACATTTCAGCTAAAACAATTTTATCCATTAAAATCAAAAAATAAATTTAAAAACCTGGAAAATATCAAATGCATATAAATAGCTAAAAAAAAATGGTCAGATTGTTTTGAAATTTTTACGGCTTCTAGAAAAGGTTAATATATAAGTATCATGTGAACATTTTAGTTTTATCGGATTATTTTTATCCGAATTCCCTAGTTTTGCTCAGATTTAAATGATTTTCCAAGTGAATTCCAAAAAAAGGATCAAGTTTTAGACCGTTTACAATATTCTTTTTAAAAAAAAGAGGTCCTGAGCCATGTTATATTGTTATACTACATTTTGAAAAAAAAAAAAGTGTGGCATCAGGTGACATTACCTGCAACATGATGTTTAGGAATCACGGTTTAGAAAAGTTCTGTATTCGTTTTGGAAAACTCAAGTTATATAATAACTATACATTTTTCTAAAAAGTGAAATATTGTTATAGGCGGTCGAAAATAGGTATTTATGTGTAAACTTGGTATTTAGCTCGACTGCCAAAATATACAAGTTATTAAATTCAACGTGTTCTATATTTAGTTATGTATAATTGGGTTTATTTTATGGTTATTTCATTGCTTTTTTTGAAAAATGTTTTATAAGTAAATCGAACTATAAAAAAAATTATAATACTGATTACAAGTAGGTCATTGTTGTAGGTGGATAAGTTGGCATAGTTGTGAATATTTGTGATATACACGGTAATTTGGTTTATGTACTTTATATCAGTGGTCTTCAACCGGTGGGTCGCGTTTTTGGGTCGCGATAAGTTTTCTTTTTAAAATAAAAATTAAGTTTATACAGTTTAAAGTTTATAAAATTTAAAGCAGTGGTTTTCGACCTTTTTGGACTCACGACCCACTTTTTTAGGCGTACATTATTCGCGACCCACATAAGGTATACATAAAGAAAAACGTTTGTAGAAAAAAAAAAAAAAATCTAAAATTACTTAATACTTTGTAGTACTACTGTTATAACCGAATAAATAAAAATAAAAAAAACTTTTTAACGGATATGTAAATATGACTAGAATAGTAACGGGACTAACATTTATTCGTCTTTAAACAAAACGACAACACCGACAATGTTAGTAGATTATGGGGCTCTTTAACGATAATAATATAATAAATTTATTTTATTACCAGCCCGGTTTACTCGTAAATTATTATATTTCAAGTCATACTACGTAGAATCATACCAGTGTATGAAACATATACTTTGATTTGAAATCCATTATACTATTATAATTTTGAATACAAATTATATAATATTATATAATATATTACAATAATTTTCAAACTGTATTTTCATTTATTAATTTTTTTAGGTTTAATAATTAAACAATTGTTTGTATACCTTATATAATTGTGTAAGCTTAATTCTTATTTTAAAAAGAAAACAATGATTGTTTAAAAAACATTAAAATAACATAAATTTAATAATAACGAAAAATAATTAAAAACGGTTGTCAATGTCAACCTGATTTTTAATCTTTCAATCTTTTTTAACCTGAAGACCGAGGTTATCCTCGTTGTCTCGAATATTAATGAGAATTTCGAAAAAATGACTTCTCTAAAGTACCACACAGAGGAAATTTTCTTTCAGAAAAAAAGCTGTACTTGATAATCGGAGTATGCTTTTTGGTAGAAAAAGTGTTCACATAAAAAAAAAAAATAATAATAATAAACATCATTGTAAAACCAATACGTTCCTCGTCCGCTCAGAATCAAAAATACATAGGTAATAAAATAAATCCAATAGATCCCTCGCTTCACTCGGAATCTCAAATATGTTAATATATTGTATATATATATATATATATATAAAAAAAAAAAAACACACACACACACAATAATATTGTATTATATTGTTTTGTAAAAAGAAATTCTCCGCGATCAGAAACGCGGCGTTCTGAACCGTGACTTTCTAAAAAAAAGAATCGCGGGCGTAACAGTAGTGCACGCCCTCCTCGCGCCAAAGGGGCGAACAACGGATTTTGTTCGGCCGCGGAGGAGAGGACGGGACGGGCAGCGAAAAAAAAAAACCACCGAATAAACGGCGACAGGCGGGGGTGAGATCGGAGCGGTCACGATTATTTTATTATAATGCGACGCCATCGTCGGCGTCGTCGTCGTCGTCGTCCTCCCCCCCGCGGGACCGCAGCGACGCGCGAAAACGCGGTGGCGTATACCTACAGGTACACTATATACAATATTGTATGATTGTAGGAAAAAAATAACCGCCTGCTGCAGACGACGACGACGTCGACGAGAGAAAAGAACAACGTGCCGGCGGCGCGCACACAGGTGGCACACACCGCGCGCGGCGGCCGACCTGTCAGACCTTTTCACCTGTCACCCCTCCGGCGGCGGCGGCGGCGGCGGCGGCGGGAACGGACGGGGCGGTATAATCCGTGTCGGATTACTGCTGCGATGTGCGCGCGGGGTCGTTTAATACCGCGGGCCGGAGCACCGAGCGTGCAGCGTGCGGGGAGCACTTCGCGGAGATGTTTAATACGACGGGTGGGAAAAAAACAAACCGTCCGGCCGGTGCGTCGAGGTTTTATTTTATTATTTTTTTTTTTCGCGTTTCGGATCGGTCCCGTTCCGCACTCGTCACGATAGACGCGATTATAAACCCCCGTCCGAAACAAATTTGACAAGTTTACCTAATAAAAAAAATAAAAAAAAAAACTAACCGAAATTAAATTTGCGCCTATTATGCGGACAGTTGCCGCGTCCAGCTCGCGAAAATGCGTGTCGAGATTCGGGACACCTCCCGCTGAAAAATAAAAAAAACCCAAATCATTCGACAAATCGAAAATCAATCTTGTTCAACCAAGTCTCGGGTTTTTGGGACGAAGATCTCAGGTTTTCTACGCCGATACAATGAGAACACGCTGGAGGGCTTTAGGTTCACGACATATTGGAAAAAAATCAAACGAAATCTGTTTGTTTGTGAACTGAAATTTATTTTCGCCGAATAACTTTGAACTATTGCAATCAAGTTAGACATTTGTAAATTTTAAATAACCCAATAACTTCCAATCGAATCGAATCATTTATGTTTTTTTTTTTTTTTTTTTTTTCAAGAAATCTCGAATAACTTCCCCGGTAGAGTGAAGTTGTTTTCCGATAAATATAATATATTGTTATAATATTATGTACACGGAGATTATGGCGCCGACAGAAAGTATCACAAACAATATCCTCGTGGGATTATTAGTATAATGATGCGGGTTTCGATTTAACTACGCGCGGAGTTTGCATTGGTCTACCCAGTAGAATATTACGATAAAATATTATTCGCGGCCCGTACTATAATGCATTCTGTCGTGGAAACGCGAAAATAGTACGCGTTTTACATCAAACCGGTACACGATAATGGAATTCGTAGCGAAATTCATAAAAAAAAAAAAAGACACTTAATACGGTAATTATCGATTCGGGTATTGTTCGAATTTCCTTTTTAGGTGCCCAAAATCTTAAATTCATAACGAAGTGAGGAATAAATTGGTTTCACTGTAATTTAAATGATATTTGTGTGTGTGTGTGTGTTTACAACTATTCTACCAAAAATATTACTTTTCAAGTATAGCATCTTTTCCAGCTGGAAGAAAATTTTGTCTTGTTTGTGTTTCGGGGATAACCGTTTTATTTATTTTTTTTATAGTTTTCCCACTTATAATTGGAAAAGGACGAAAAAATAACCGGCGATAAACGATTCCGTTATTTTCGATTTCGTTTTTTATCGTAGTGGACGAAAAAGGTAGTGAATGGTATTAGTTCGAAAAATGATAAAAAATCGCCGATAACAATATTGGCTTGTAGTTAATGTTCTTTTTCAATCGTATATGTACACAAATTTAACGAGATAATTCTAACTCCAATTAATATAATATTATTTCTGACACGAACGCGCTGAAAATGACAAAAATTAACATTTACCGTTTATATTTTTACGTATTTCGTACGGATTTTATGAATGTATACTTTCTAATACCATTCGTGTATAGTTAAATATTTTAGATTCTGAGTTTAGCTAAGAATTTATTGGTTTTACATAGACGTTTGTTTTTTTTTTTATATGTGAACACTTTTTCTACTAGAGAGCTTACTCTGATTATCAAGTATAATATCACATTTTTTGAGTGGGTGGTATTTTAGAGAGTTAATTTTTGAAATTCTCATTGATATTCGAGATAGTAAAGAAAATCTGGTTCTTTAGGTTAAAAAAGATTAAAAGATAACAAAATAAGGTTGTCATTAGCAACCGTTTTTATTTATTTTTTGTTATTATTTAGTTTTTATTGTTTTAATCTTTTTTCAAACAATCATTGTTGTCACGGGAACGCACATTGTTGTAATCGTTTTACCATAATATGACATTTAATATATTGTTGACAAAGCAACACTATCAACTGAACTCCGCTCAGAATCATTTTTCGTTAGCAACGGTTTACCGTTGCTTACGTCCGTAAGCGACATAAAATACGCATACGTTAAATTCCCGTCTGTATCCTACCTTCCCAACGGCCAACCTCTAAAGCCCACGTGGGCGAAGCATGTCCGTGTTTTTTTTTTCGTTATTAATTTAAACTACATAATATACACGTACGCGCCTAAATCCGTTCCCTAGTTACGACACGTCCCCAAACCAGGAATATTGCCCGTATAACGCGCAGTTAAACGGCGCGAACGAGCGGCACAATCCCGTCGACAATGGGAGACGCTCGACGGCGACTCGACAGAAGAAAAATAATAATATAAAACAAACACGCGCATCTGCCCCCGCGCAATATTATCGTTATCCGGAGTGTTTGCCTTCGTATATTTATACATTCTCGCCGACGTCGTTGTAGTGTTTGCTCAGTAGTAGTAGCAGTGGAACTACTACTATATTACGGTCGTATCTCCCGAGTCAAACAAATTAAACGGATAAATAAATATTGTGTAGGTACACGCGCGCGCGTGTGCACACACGTCGTGCGATCCAGAAGCAAAGAGAGAGAGAGAGAGAGAGAGAGAGAGAGAGAGACGACGATCAGTATATACTACCGTGGCACCGTGCGGCAAAACCTTGGCGGATTGCAAAAAAAAAAATAGGCTGATAATGCTGGACTGGTACGTCGCTACTTTGGGAGAAAAGTTGCAGGAAGGAAGGATGTATACGGGTAAATTAATTCGTATTCATAAAACGATTTTGAACTGAGTATCGTCAGCCGTATTTGCTCGCTTGTTGCCAATTGTACGGCAACCGGGAAATCAACGCAAATATCATATGAGAAATTGCCAAAATTAAAAAAAAAAACAAAAAAACACCTCCCCAACATCAAAAAATTAGATCGAAAACGCCGCGAGAAAGTTCTTATAAAGTTTTCGATTTGAGCGAGATTTGCAAAACAATCGGACGATTTTTTGAGCAATTTTTCGTTTGTTTTATATACGGATAAAATTGTTTTGGTCGCGTTTCAAATGCACAAAGTAGAAATTCGAGTGTAACGCTGAAAAATGTCTTGTAGTTTGTGAGCTTTTTACGTTCGTGAAAATCGTAAAAATTACGGCATTTCAAATAGAACACGACGTTTAATCGAATTTCGGCCAGAATCGTGTTTGATCATCGACGAATCATCGTCGCGTTCTGCTGACGCGTGTCCTATCTTCCCGATTACCCACCTGTAATAACAGTGGCACACCCGTCAGCACTCAGAAGTATCGGCTATTTTTTTTTTTTTTTTTTGTTCGTTTTCGTTTTGCCTAGACACATCCCCCACTCTGAATATCCGACCGACCGCGCGGATAACAATATTATTTTTTAACGTTTAAAACCGTATTTACATACCGTTTAATAAACTGAAAACTAGTCGTCCGGGACGACGGGCAGCGAACTGGGCCGCAGCTGCGGTGTAATACAATTTACTCGTACGGCGCGTATACTTGTACATGTTTATTATTATTACGGACGCGTTCCGAAACCGACATTTCGTAATAATTAATGCGCCGCGTTTCGATTTACGACTAATTCGTGCGTGCCGGACGTCATTTTATTGCTCTCGTGATTTTTTTTTTTTTTTTTTCTACTCGACGATAAATTCGATTTTCTCTCTCTCTCTCTCTCTCTCTGTCTCTTTCTCGCGGGCACACTCCACGTAACCACGTAGCCAGCCGTACGCACGTCTGTACCGCCGGCCGTAAAGTGTACGCTTCGGTTTTTCTGTTTGCGGTTTTTGGCCCACAGATTTGTATACAACGTGTCGCCGTACGAAATCCGCCGCAGAGACGTCCGGAGACCGAGAAACTGTACTGTCGCGCACACTGTACTGCCGCTCCAATAACAGCCTACAATTATAGTCGTGTGTCCTCCGTCGTGCAGGACACACGGTTGTAGTTCATCGTTTCCGTCACGATATTCCGAACACTGATATGTTTCGGCCGAGAATTTCACCCTCCCCCCCACACTATTGTTTTATCAACGGAACAGAAAAAAAAAAAACAATATAGTATTGTCGGCATTTTAGAGGGATTTCGATATATTTTTTTTTGGTGTTACGCACACGTAACACAGCAGTTTAGATTTCAGACTGAATTTGTGTCCATCAGTCACCACAATTTTATCGATTTCATTTTTGCTATTTTTTTAGATTCTGAGGTTTAGCGAAGAATGTTTTGGTCAATCAGCGTTGTAAAGTATTTTAGTATTGGTATTTAAATATTTTTCCAAGTATTAAATACTATTTATTTAAAAGTATTTGAGTAAATTTTAAATACTGTCACTGTATTGAATACCTTCAAATACATTTTAGTCATAAACATTTATATTATTTCATCCGGTTTACCCAGAAGAATATTTCTAACTACGCTTCTGGTTAACCAGTTATTATGATAACCTAGCAGTGAATGTGTTTTGGGTTTTTATAGTATTTTTCGATAATTTTAAAATAATTTAAATTTAGTTGGTCAAACCCAAAACAAAGCTCTATTTATATTGAGAATTTGAAAAAAAAAAACCTGTTTCGCCATTCGGGTAACTATATTGTTATCATTAATACAGTTAAGTAATTGGAAAAAAATATTATTTAAAATTGTGCTCAAATACTTTTTAAAAAATTATACTTAAATACATTATGACTACCACAATTTAGAGAAAACGGTGTAAACGCGTAGGTTTAGCTTGAAGTATTATTATTATTATTTTTTTTTTTTTTTTTATGGTTTTACGGTGACGATAAAATTGAAAGCTCGCGTATACGTTCAATGTACATATTTTTAGTGAGCGTATAACTATAATCAACGAATTTTCTTACGGATATCCGCATAAACCCAAACGTAGGGACCACCCGGGCGTTTGTCGTATACCCGTTTATGCGAATACTCTCCAATACACTAGGCGATATACCCACTGCGGATGATGACGGTGTAGTGTTATTAATATTGTACTCGGAGTCCGGATCAACGGTTACCTATTATTTTGTAAGTTGTACATTTCCAATGCTGAATAGACGGTTTACACGATTTGTTTGTATTTTAACACGGCCAATGGATGGGAGGGGAGGGAGGGGTAAGGTTATAGGTAATAAAATAAAATATCCATTTGTATATTTCATTTCTCTACAATAATAAATAGATTCGTTAGGTAAGATTAGGTGAAAGTCATGAATATAGTTTTTATTGTTTTCTGTCTGACCGTCGTCGTCGCTAAATTTCGCTCGGTGACACGTTATTAATTTATTATTATCACTGATCCGAGAGCAGCTTTGTATACTTGAGACGGTTGATTTATCAAAGACTTTTTTTTTTTACACGGGACGCTATCTCGCGTGTTCACAGTCCGGTTGGCTGTCCACGGCGGTTTTTATATTATTATCCGCGTGTTCGACAGTTACGGATACGTTCCGTCTAACCCGATAATTTTATCCGTGTTCGCAGGAAAAGTGCGGTCCACCACTGCAAGGATGGCGCTATTGTCCAGTGCGGCGGTGTTGCTGTCGCTGCTGCTGGCCGGCGGTGCGACAACGATGACGGCCGCCTACGTCCCGGAGACGTGCGAGGACGTGCGCTTGCGGTGCGCGTTCGGCTCGGGCTGTTCGGTGGCGCTGCACAACTACTTCATCAAGTGCGACAGGATCCTCCAGAGCAACCCGACGACGTGCCCCGAGACGTGCCTGTACTCGCTGGTCGCGCTCACGTCCACTGGCGACGGGAAACGATTGATGGACGTGAGTACATCGCTACGGCTATAAGTCATTCTAGTGTTGTAACATTACCGTCGTCGCCGTCGTTCGCTGTTTGAATTGGACGCCGACGGAGCGGCGCCGAAAAGCGGTAGGATCGCGGATAACCGTTGGCGCTCAGCGGCCCTTTTTGAACGCCGCGACTCTTTTCGTTTTTGATTGTAGTTTGGTACGCCCGATGTTTTTTTTTATAAAATACGCGTTTCGCGTGTCGGCGATTTTGCAATGAAACCGAAGGAAGAGCTTTTTTTTTTTTGGGGGGGGGGAAGGGGGAGCGGTTGGATTTTCGTTTCTTTCGCTGAACGAATCATGGCCGAACGTTGTTTGTCGGAGAAAAGCAATTTCGCGTGAAGATTTCGTTTTTTTTTTGCCAAAGGCGTTAAAAGGCGAGTTAAAATTAACTCGGTTTATTTTGTTTTGGGATATTTTGTCAATAAACGGGGAGACGAATGGGTAAAATAATTGTCTTTATTGCTCCGCGCATGATATACGCAACGGTGTCCCACAAAAGTACACCCATTGCAATATATCCCGAGTTTTTTTATATTACTCGCACGGCTAAGGACTACAGACATTTATAATTGAATCACATTTTTATATTTTAGTAAAAAACTAAAAAAAACTAACTTTTTATTATATTTTTTTTCGAAAAATTTGAAGATAGATTTTTATAGGATTTTTTCTTCTAAAAATGTTGACGTTTCAACTTTTTATTTTCATTACAACCGTGATTTTTAATAATTTTTTAAAGTTCAAGTACAAATACCTATGCAGCAGGCTGTAATCACGTTCCCTAATTGATTATTATTATTATGGCTAATTGACGGTCCATTTTTTTTTTTCTGAATTTTAATAAATTATTAAAAATTACGAATTTAATGAAAATAAAAAGTTGATACTTTATAGTTTGATTATCTTTATTGTTTCTGGAGATAACACAATGGGTATATCGTGGGACATATGTATACATGTATACAAATTCAAAAAAATTCTAGGGAATTTACCTTGGTTGGTATGCTTGAGATCAGCGGTCGACCCTGAGACTGGTCGTTGATTAAATTGTGTTTAATGTATACAAAATATTGTATATTTAGTTGGGTGTATCGGTAAACGGTAAAATGATCATTGGGAGGGGGGGTGGATGGGAGAGGAGAAAGTCTAAACATAAATATTATATACAGAAAAAAAAAAAGATCTGACAATTTTTTTCCCAAAAATATATTCCATAATATACTCTTAATCGTATGCCGTATCGTCAATAATGCCATTGGAATATTATAAATAAAATATTTACTTTTTCTTGTACTGCAATCGTTTGTTTTTTACTCTAAGACACGACTTGTAGTCTGCAATAACATCGGGTCTTTTCTCCGGAATATAGATAAGATTTTTTTTTTTTTTTATTTTCGTTACTCGTGATAACGAATTTTATGTACGCGTAAACTCTCAGACAGCGATCCCGTGGTAAATATTCATGTACAGCGATTTGCAATATCCAAACCCGCCGGGTTCGAGTCTCCCTGCAACCCCGACGTCGTGACAAAATATAATACCGTTTCTATCGAAAAATCGAATTTTTTTTGTTGTTTTTACGTTTAACCGATAATTTATCAATGGTTCCCTCTTCCCTTCGATTTCGTATACATTGAAAACTATATAAGTAGATATATAGCGTCTTGCTTCGTTAATGTCACCAGTGATGGCGAACAGTGTCGTACAGGTATTACACGTTTGTATTAACCGTCGTCGTACCATTGGAAATAAAATAACAACACGCGTACAAACAACGAAACAATAATAAAAAACAAACCCGAGAATAATTTAACGTCATCCGGGGGATTTAGATGTTTTCGGAAAAAGATTTTTTAATTGGGCGGACGAAAAAAAAATGTATGCACTTCAATGAAACTGCTGTCCGGTTGGCAATACGACCGTCGGTTCTCGTGATATATGTTTTAAATTAAAACGTGCATGTATGTAGGAGAAGTATAATAACGATAATATATTAGTAAAAAAAAAACCGCCAGAATCGATGATCTTCGACAGAGAGAGAAAGAGAGAGAGAGAGAGAGAGAGAGAGAGATACTATTAAAATCCACACGATATAATATTATACGGTATAATTTACGCGCTCGTTTAATACCGGACATGTTTCGTCAACGAAAACAACCGGTAAAAACCGTTTTGACGTTCGAGTGTAATAATTTACTTACGTCTTGATAATAAAAATGTCGTCCGGAGAAAACTACATTCGCATGGGTATAATATTTTACGATTCGTTACACAGAATACGGTACAGGCAAGGACGAATTGCATTTATTTCAGTTGAATCGCGCTTGGATTAAAAAAAAATGTATAACGGTCGAATTGCCGAGAACGGCGAGTGTTTCAACGGAAATGTCCGGGAAAACAAACAAGATATTTTAAAAGTTTAATTTTTTTCGGACATTTTCGACGGGAACCATCTCGGAATTCACGCGTATAGTACGATAACCGTAATCCGGACCAGGGCCGTGTTCGTTCGGGGCGGAGGGCCGAGCCGCCAAAAGTTATTCTACACAATCCGTTAGGTTTTTCACCCGAAATTTTATTATAATCAATATTTATCAACGCGTAACCAAAATCAATATAATAATATTATCGCAAATAGCCGCGAGGAAACCAGACGTTTCCAGTTGACCGTAAAACGTATGAATAATAATACTCACGGGACGTTTTCGAGAATTGGACCGATTCTCGGTTTTTTGCGAAATTCATATTTGTCATTTTGCGCTACTTGCATACGATGAATTATAGTAAAAACATCATTAATAATAATATATTGTACCCTTGAATAAACTATTATAATATGACGTCGGACGGTGTTGTTTTTTTTTTTTTTTTCCCACCGCAGTGTACGTGCCGGGACCGGTACTGCGTCCAGGTGAAATCCCGGTTGGAGGTGTGCCGGCCATTGGTGGTCGAGATGGCCAGAAACGAGACGGTGGTGCCGTGCGAGCTGGCCCAGTGGCTGTGCATGGTGGACCCGGTTTGCGACGCGGCGCTGAGCTACTACACCACATACTGCAAGCGCATGATCCAGGGATCAGCGTGCACGGAACGGTGCCTTAACTCGATCGAGATACTGCAGCGGCAAGAGAACGCGGCCAAGATGAACAGGTGCCGGTGTACCGGCAGGTCGACCGTTGAGTGTCTGCGCAACAAGGAGCGCATGGTCAGGCTGTGCTACGGCGGCGGCGGCACCGCAGCGGACGGAGAGACGCGCGGCAAGTCTAGGAAGAACAGGAAGAAGCACAGGCCCAGGATGTTCGACGAGGACCCAGATCGAGCCGAGGTGGAATTGATGATGGCAGATCCGGACTACGAGCCGGAAGTCCCGATTGAGTATAACACCAGCACCGCGTCACCCGACGAGGACGGCGGCAACGACGAGTCGTCCTGTCCGGCGGTCCGCGCGCCATCCGTTGCCGTCCTGTGCGTGCTGATGGCCGCGGCCCATTTCCTAGCGGTCGTAAGGCCGATGTCCGTCTCGCACGGCGGACAATGACGACCGCACAAATGCCGGCTTACCGCAGCGCGTGACCCGAGGTTGACTCGACGTTGACTCGTGCCGAAAACGACGCCACCTAGGCGGGCCGTGCCGAACACACTTTACGTCACATTGTCCTCCCTGATCATATCATAAAACTAAATGTCAACGTGTACGTTGAGTTAGACATATAGACTACATCTCCGAGGCCCAATCATCGTTGAACAATAAATGCAATCAACACAATATTCCATTACGTGTTTTTTAATTTATTGAACATTTAAACCGTATAATACAGACAATATTATAAAATCAATTCATCAACCTTATCAATGTATGTTATCGTTAAAATATTTGGTTGTAAATTTTCATCCGTGCTCAAACCATCATAAAGTAATATAGAGGGTCATTCCGTATATCATTCTGTACAAAGAGTTGATGTCTATTTTACAGTAACATTAGCATAGGAAAATCAAAATTGTACCCACCATGTTTTTATTCTGCGGTGATAAGGTCATAAATCATAATTTATAAACTATAGATATTATGAGTGAGTTGAATCAACTCGTGGTATTTTTTAAAAAAAAAAAAAAAAACTGGGAAACTTTAATATAGAAATGACGAAACGATGTTTAAACCTTAGAAAATATAAATGTACGTAAAACGATCAATAATAATTGACTAATTCGTAAAAAACTTCCGAACGTATGAAACACGTTACATCGGAAATTAGAACAACTCTTTAGGTGATAAATATTAAATCATATTGCTCTATACAAAAATATTTAATATTAAATAGTATTATCTTAAATCTAGTTCGGTGTTATCACTCGTAACATATTACGGTATAGGTTAGGATATCGCTCCGAAAATTGGGTAATATTTTTTTTTTCCTAAATTAATGGTACCTACTGAAAAATAGACATTATTTGCTAGTCAATATTCATAAGGATATGCCTCTCTATATTACTCCGTGGATTAATCCCTGAAATATAGTCTCTATAATCTCGCTCATTACATATTGATATGACGTGTTTTCTCTCTCTATACACAGTCCATATTTTTATAAGTCTATGCGCGTATCGCGTGTTGTATACCAAAAAAACAAAAAAACAAAATGAAAACCCCAAAGCATATTATTTCCACACGGTACACTATAACTGTCGTACACGACCCGTCGCTATAATACTAAATACAATAACTATTATTATAACCACGGTCTATTCAAATTTATGATATTATTATCATAATAATATGATGTTAAAAATTATTTTTTTAAGAAGCCGTGTACATACCTATCATAATATTCACGATCACTATTTGGTACAAAGTCGTTTTTTTTATAGTTTAATTGCCTTGTTTTATAATATGTATTTTGTTTATTTGTATTTGTATTTTTTTTTTTATATACGTGACGTCATAATTATTCTTATTGTGTACAAATATATTATTTATTTTTTTTTTTTTTTATAGTTGAAAAAAAAAACATTTACCAACAAAAAAACGACGAACGAGTATTTTTTTTTCGTCGGCCAAAAAATCCTATCCCCCAATCCTTGACGCAGGACGAGTGGTTTGAAACTCGAAGTTTAAATATTAATTTCCAAAAAATTGGTTTAAATTGCCTTCCCGACGTTTATCTGTTGGACAAACAATCAAAAAAGTCTTGAACATTTGAAAAACGTTTCAAATAAAATACCATTGGGCGAACAATCTCTGCATCTTGTAAAGTATGATAAGAAAAAATCGGAAGATTTTTGTTAACCGTAAAACCGTTTTCCCGAAAAGAAAAACATTGACCTATATACAACAAATCGTAAAACTAATCATATAGCCTCTTCGTTATATTCAGAATTTAAAAACGAATACAAATGTTAGTAAATTATTTATTATTGAATTAAAAAATTTATTTGAGCAGTGATCAGGTCCGTGCGCAGGATACTTCGTCGGGATGGAGAGTTCACGAAAGAAAAAAACCGTGTAAAATAAATTTATCAGTTATGAGTAAAATCGAAAATCAAAAAAACAAATTATAATTTGTCGATCACACATCATATTATACTTCCGAAATATTGCAGAAGTAAACTTGTTTTTATTTAGATAAAACTAATACTTAATCGTGAATATCATAAATACCTAGAAGTAAAAAAAGCAATGGGAGAGGTGTGAACTCCACCCCCCCCCCTTTATGCATGAGCCTAGCACTGATCATAGTTAGACGGATGAAACGCGCAAACAGCCTACAGCAATAACGGTGACATCGTAAATGTCTCCTGAAGGGAACTACGGTGTCGGACGATTGTAAATTTGTCACTCATCCCGGCTTTTCCCGCCGTGTGTACCTACACATGACGATATTCGGAAAAGTGTGTGTGTGTGTGTGTGTATGTGTTGAACTTAAATAAGATCCAAACGGCGATCAGAAAGTAGGAGGAGAAGGACGAGACCACCCACAATGATTGGGTTGATCGTCGCCCGGTCGCGGTAGCTGCGACGCAATAATAATAACAATATTAGTCTCCGGCCGAGCTGACGCCACCAGCTATAGGGGAAGAGGAGGGGCGGACACGTGAGGACAGGCGCGCGTGTGTGAAATCTATTTTTCGTTAGATGTCGCGAAAAACAACAATGAAAAAAAAAAAAGAGCTGATACTGGGGACGAGTGCGACCACTGTTGTAGGTGGATAGTTGAGAAGGTGGGATATATAAAGTTATTTAACTTATACATGTAACCAACAATAAAACATTGATAATGAAAAACAATTCGGAGCGAGTTCGGTTATTCATGTTTTGAAAGGCCAATTAATGTTGATTTTCGTCAAAATTTTATTTTAAAAATATTATGATAAAAAAAAATATACTACATAAATCTGAATTTTTTTTTTTACCACTAATTATGACTTACATTGAACATCCTATTAAATTTTCAAACGTTTCTGTTATTTACATATTATATTTATTTATTTATTTATTTACAGAGTACCTACTAAATAAAAATTACCTAAAAAGCTCGCAAAAAATCAAACGTCCATAAATAGTAGGTCAAATATTTCGAAAGTCTTATCACGTCTAGAATCTGTTCAACTGAATTATACGTATAAAAAAAAAAAATAAATACAATTTTTTTCGTAAATTTTCCCTTAATTTCTACGTACTTTTCGGTTAAGGTTGATTATTTAAAAAACAAAATCAAAAAACCCTCTTGTGACCTTCTAAGTCACCAAATAGATTAAACATTAAAGCACACATCATAGTAGATCACCGGGTTCAGAATCGAATACGTTTAAAGCTTATAGTTTAAGGAATAGAAATGCGCTTATGAGGTTTAAAACGTTTGAAGTATCGTTAAAAAATATTAAAAAGATCTATAATTAGCGTGTGCTAAAAATAAAAAAATAATAAAAACGCAGTCGAACCGCGAAGATGTAAGTGTTTACATTTTTCGATTGTATACGAAATAGTAGTATAAGTAATTGGAGTTTATTTATATATAGAGCATAAAGTATGCCGATTTTCAAAAGTATATATTATTATGTAGAAGTTTTTAAAACCTTATAAAAAGAGTTATAAAATTCGAATGAGTAATAAAACGTTTCACGTACTCGTTTTTACTTTGACGGCGGACAGAACCGGTAAAAAGCAATTTTCAATCGGGATAATAATGATTATAAAACCCTATCAACGAATTTCGTCAGTTATATATATATTTATATATTTTTATTCTTATTCCCAATACTTTTGAAACCTTTTAGCGGCTCTCTTTGAACCAAATTAACTCAAACTCGAGAATTGGAGTAGTTTTATAGGTGGGTTATAGGTGTAATACAATTTTGATTGTGTTTTAATTTAGATTCCTTCATGTTGTGCCAAATGTCCAAGTTTTTTATGCTTTGCCCGGTTTTCCCATGTTTTATCCCGGTTTTTCACTTTTGCTGGAAAAATCGAAAAATGACCTCAGTAAAATACCTCGTTAGTGAAATTTTCTTTAAGAAACATTGCTATCATTAAAAATTGGAGCGAAATTGTTGATAGAATAAAAGTGCACAGAAAAAAAGAAGGCCGTAATATATTTTAACTAGTACCTACATTTCTTATATTTTCCCGTATTTTATTTTTGATTTTTCAAATTTTATGAGAACTTCTGAAAAAATCGAGAAAATTACTTCTTTAAGGTACCTCCACACGCCGATTTCCTTTCATAAAAGGTGCTACACGTAGAAATTCGAGTATTTAAATAAGACCTCTTCAATACTTAACCAACTAGATTAAAAATGGTAGGTAGAAAATTTGTTTATGGACACACACGCACAAAAAAAAGTAATAAAACATCATAGTAAAACAAAAACATTATTCGTTTCACTCAGAATCTTAAAATAATGCCCCGTTTGACTAAATAAAGTTTACTTATTTAGATTTTACTGAAAGATTGTTTTATTAAAATACTAATAATGGACATAAATTAAATAATCTTTCGAAGGAATCTAAATAACAATAAATGAATAAAATACAAATTATGTATCTACTTAATTAAAAATGCATAGAAAAGTAATTCAACGAGCTATGTTATACTAGAAAAAAAAAT